TAGCTGACGAATGGTATTTGCGTTCGCCGTGCCGTACCGCGCCCGTGTTCATGTGAACGCGTCTATACAAGTCCATACAAGACTATAAAGACGGTTGCCGCGTCAAAACCGTGCTTATAGTGGATAAGGACGGGTGACACGCGGTCACGGCACGGTCGCCGTGCAATGTGAAAGCTCTCATTGTTGCTCATACATTACTATTTTACACGGCACGGCAACCGTGCCGTGTCCGTGTACATGTGAAAAGGCACTTAACATAGACTACTCCCAAATGATGACAGCTGTCACTGCCATTACTTGACGTTTCACAAAGCAATGGTACACTGACTGATGACATTTGTTGTCGGTTTAACATTTCGAAGGAGCGAGTGAGACGCCAAACGCCGACAATAATATTTTTTTCATCCCACCACCTCGGAAAGTGTAATTTTGCGCTTCGAAATCTGGCTGGAAAATTCTATTTTATTCGCTTGAGCGGCAAAGTAGATTTGAATTTAGAACATCACATATAATGAGTACTCAATATAATTGTAAATTCAAAACGTCATTAAACCTATTTAATGTAACCTCTATGGTGCCAAATTTATGATTAGAACTTTTTAAATTGTGAAAAAATTTAAATTTGGAACCTTCTTGGTTTCTTTGTTTTATTTGCGTGCTTCGCGCCATTCTAGTTTTTCACGTTTTATTGCTTAAATATTTTGTCATTATAAATTGTTTTCTTTTTCATTTTGTCATTTCCTCGCTGAGGTGGGATGAAAAGTTACGTATTGCACTCGAGTGGAAAGATTTTTCACCTTGTGCTCGTTTGTTTCCCTCGCTGACGCTCAGGATTCTAATTTAGAATCACTCGCTGCGCTCGTGATTCAACTTTAGAATCCTTCGCTTGCTCGGTCATCCAAATCGAGCACGCGGTTAAAAAGGAACTTTCCACTCTTGTATAATAAATAACTATTTATAAACTAAAGCACTTCCTATGCGCACGATGTCGCGGGTGACAGCTACATAGTAGTTTATATTCTGCGCATAATGCGCAACCTATTTAATAAAGAATTGTTGATCCTAAATCGAAAAATTGAAACACAGCGTTCCACAACATCCTGGGATTGTCGCAGTGGAAGAAGCAACGGCGCCGACCACAAACTACGTATGAAAGCTCATTTAAATGTATCGTAGGCCTTAAGTTGATATTTTCGTACATTTCATTCACACTTGCGTGTTAGACCAGGGTCGATAATTTTAAAAATATTAAAAAGTGAAAAAAAAATATAGTAGGATGAAACCCATTGGAAAAGGTAGAGAATATAACAAAAATGAAAGGAACAATAAATTAAGGGTCGTCGGGAAGGGGGAGGGATGTCGCTGTGTGCTATATATAGCGACATCCCTTTCTAACTATGCTCAAGACTAGATCAATCACTGAGAATCTATATATATAAAACTCAAGGGACTGACTGACTGACATAGTGATCTATCAAGGCACAGCCCAAACCACTGGACGGATCGGGCTGAAATTTGGCATGCAGGTAGATGTTATGACGTAGGCATCCGCTAAGAAAGGATTTTGATCAATTCTACCCCCAAGGGTATAAAATAGGGAATGAAAGTTTGTATGAAGCTTTGTCAATTTTAAACCGATCGGGCTGAGACTTTGCATGCAGGTATAAGAACAATCATAGATGAATGTCATTGTGTATAATGCAAGTCTGAGAACAAAAACTGTAGTCTACACTTCAGCTCTACACCGAAGCGAAGCGAGGGCGGGCTGCTAGTTTTCTATAATACGGGCCTTAGTGTTCTGCCAATAACTGCGACACAGTCTTTGACAGTTATTAACGAAATAATAATTTTGTATGCCTGTTTTTAATATTTGAAATAAACTTAATATATAGTTCATCTTTAAACTCATAGTTATACTGTAGATGTTAGCTCTTTAAAGTAGTGCTGTCGACGAAGTAAAATTTGATGAAACAACCAAAGTTATTTTACTTCCTGCTTGTAGATATGTAATGTAGGTACTCAATATTTTATTTTAGAAAGAGTTACCTTAACAGAAAAGTAGCACAAATTTAGAGATTTTATTACAATAGGGTATTTGACAAGTTTTAGAAAACGATCTCACGTTATTGACTAATGTTATATGGAGTCCGTAAAAAGTGGATATTCATCATTCAGTTGTGTATTTCAATGAAAATAACCAAATCAAAAACTCCATTTTCAAGTTGCCGCGAAAACGTTTCTCTGGACAATATGACGTCTTTCTAGTGTGTGACGTCACACGACTGTTATCAAAACGTAATGTTAATGTCACTTTAACCGGAAGTTTACTTGCGTGTGACGTCATTTTAGGCTCCGCCAATCCCAAGCGTTTTGGGTCTCGTGACAATAGATAAGAAAACTATTATCTTTTTCCTTAGTTTTTAGTAAAATTATGAATATATTTTTTTTGTAAAAATAGTAAAAACCCCTCTCAATATTCATTCTAATCACAGATGCTAACAATGGAGAAGTATACGCAAAGCTCGACATAGATGGCGCTGCAAACGCTTGACCCAAATCACAGCCAAACATTGCCGCTGTCAAATTTTAAACGTGTTTTTTTGTTGTTAAAAATATTAAATAAGTGGTGAAAATGTATTCATGTACATATGTATTTTCCATGATTATTTTAATAGTTCATGGATTTGACTAACTTTTAGCGGGCTCATTAGTGTCAAATCTATCTTATTTTTGCATCAGTCGGACATCTCATAGAGTTAGGTTACCTCTGGCTAAAATGGGAGGTATAACATTGAGTTTTTTTACAGACTTGAGGCATAGGACCGCAATTTTAATTTTGCTGCAGTTTCTTCTGATCAAAATGAAGACATCCAGATGCAATTACCTGCCCTAGATACATACAAATATTTAAACAGCAGCTCACTTTTACCCCCTTTCAAAGCAACATATAAAATTATAGTTTAGTCGGTAAGCATGCAGTTTTCTCACAACAACCAGAAATTGAAATTCCATTTGTGTGTTGTTTAATAAAAAGCTTAAAAATGAATATAAGCTAATAGGTATGTATTTGATCGAAGTTTTGGGTCAAGCGATTACAGCGCCCCTAGTGGCCAAATTTTGCAGAATTCTTGTCCATTGGCACTTTATTTTTAACACTGTCAAATACCCTATTGTTGTTAAATAATAACGGTTATCGTTTTAGAAATCAAGTGACGGTCATTTGAAGCGTGCGTGGAAGAATAAGCTCTCTGGAGTTCTTTCTCGAAGAGGACTAGTCATCAAAGGTTTTTTTTCAAGTATATCCTACCCCACATTCCTAACCCCACTCCTAACCTAAATATACCAGTACAAATATATTACACTAGCCGTGCCCCGCGGTTTCACCCGCGTTTTTCTCGTTTCCGTGGAAATACCGAGATAAAATATTGCCTAGAGTTATTTTAGAAATGTATTTATTATACTCTTCAAACATCTTATACTTACAATTATCAACAAATATATTTAGAAAAAGATTATCCAGGATTTTATGTTGATAAAAAACTCTATGGCCCATAACTCATTAATAGGTACCAACTCTTAACATCTTACACACGTGATAACTTTTAAACGAAATATCCGATTGAGATGAAACAAAAAGTATTTTACTTCTACATAAATACTCTTGATATCATAATGCTTAATTTCGATAAAGATTAATATTACGATACATATTTAACGTAGTTTTTTTTTCTTCAGACGATTTAATAATTATTTTGAACACAAAATCGGTTATTGTGATTAAACCATGATAGCTAGATATAGTGTATGCTGTTGGTCGCAGATGACCTTTACAGCGTCACCGGGTTTGGGGACGGCGAGATCCTAAGGAGACCTCTAGCTGAGAATTGGCGAGTGCCTTTGGAGGTATTCCAGGAGGGTGGCATCTCCCCACGGGGGGAGTCTCCTCTCCGTCTGGAGCCTTTACACCACTCGAAATTGAGGGGGTTAAGCAATGATTTAATTTAATAGTTTTTATATATATATATTTTTATGGATGTTGCCGAAACTGGCAGTTTTTATACCATTTATTTTTAATGTTTTTGGATATTTTTTTGACTTTTATTGTCACTTTCAATTGTATACATAATTAAACGTCAATTAAGAGAAAACCGCGTTTTAATAGGATTCCCTATAATGTCATTTACATTTGTATTGGATAGTGACTTCATGAGTTATCTCATATTGATAACTACGTGCGATGTGGACTGTATGATGTGGTAGACTTGGTATATGATGAAAACACGGTCTTCTCAAGCTCACAGTTTATTTGCAACTAACCCTGACATAAGTACTATCAAAAAGAAACACGTCATATGAAAAGAATATAAAATACAAAGATAAAGTTCTATAAAAGAGATCAGCCAACACCAGCCAGTCGCCAACACATATTGAAGTCATTTTTCAATTTGACGACTCTGTATATAATACAGGGAGAAAAAGACAGCCCTTGCTGACTTTCTTGCCGGTTCTTCTCAGTACAAGGTCTCCCACCGTAGATTTGCGAACCGATGGTGTAGCTTTTCGACATTCACAAGTGCTTGTAACTTGTAACACCCTAGACCCTGGGTTCCGAACCTGGGGGTAATTACCCCTCCGGGGGTAAATCAGCCATACTTCGGGGGTAACAAAGAACCTAATTATTTGGTCAAATCTAAATAATAAGAAAATACTATATAATAATACTACTAAATAGAGCATGCGCTCCTTCTTGCTAGCGAACCCGCGGGGTGCTGAGTGTGGGAAGCGGGGCGAGATTTACTCCTGATGATGACATTATTAGAGACGAAGATGTAGCGGCCAAATTGGAATTTCTTGGACTGATGATAACATTTTAAAGTCGGGGTAAAATCTGTTTTCCTAATAGGTTACAGGGGTAGCAGTATTGGAAAGGTTAGGAAATACTGGTCTAGACTGAATAAACGATATTGAACTTTAATTATTTGGTGTTTATACGATTTCAGCATCCACAATTCTGCGTTTAAGACGATGACGGAAGCGGTGAGAGAGAGCGAGATAAAGAAACGCGACCCGGCCGCGCTGCTCGCACAACCCAGACACTCGTGAGTACCTCTTACTACGATACATATTTTGCAGGTCGATGACTAATGGGTATATTGCGGGTAGATTGTATTCGATCAAATTGGGAGTTTGAGCAAAAATATTGATTCTTAGGTTTTCACGCACATCACTCATTAAATAAAACTAGTTTTTACGGGTTAATGCCCGAAACTTTATTTATTTATTGACGTTTCGTAGCCTTTACAGGCTTCGTCGTCAGAATAAAGTTTAATTCTATTCTATTATTCTATCGAAGTAAAAATAAAGTTTTATTCTGACGACGAAGCCTGTAAAGGCTACGAAACGTCAATAAATAAATAAAGTTTCGGGCATTAGCCCGTAAAAACTAGTTTTATTAAAAATATTGATTATATTTTTTAAGCATTTAACTGCTAGATGTTTAAATCTAAAGAAAATTTTGCTACAAATAATCTATTGATCAAAAATATTGAATTTGAGAAACAGTCACAAAGGATTTTAAAGGGATATCGGGCATAATTCTGGCATGATTCTCTAAACTTTAAAAAGTTTGTTGCAACACCCCAACGGGGTCGTGTACCACTCACTATTAAGTATGTAAGACCTTATAATAAATAATGTACATGAGCAATGTGATATAAATAAATAAATAAATATAACTTAAAACTAAACAACAGTCTGTCCTTTTCAGTTTTTATAGAACATGACAAAGATATACAAATACGAATACAAAAGCCTTTATTGCTGATAATTACATAAAAAAAATATATTGTTTTAAACTTTCATGGTCACTAACATTATAGATATTAACGGGATTGTTACCATGCACCTTGTTTTTTATGAGTCTCCGATATTTCGGCACTGTTGCAAGCGCCATGATCACGGAGTAACTCGTTACTCCGTGATCATGGCGTTACATGGTAACAATCCCGTTAATATCTATAAAAAAATACATCTTTAACATTTTTACTTATAATTCAGCGTGTCCTGTAGACACATAGGCCTCCTCCAGCCTTTTCCACTCCGATCTATCCCTTGCTAACCTCAGCCATAGCGGGCCAGCTACCCTTCTTATGTCATCCGACCATCTTTTCAGCTGTCGTCCACGTTTACGGTAAGGGGTCATCCATAAATTACGTCACACGAATTTCATGTCTTTTTTGCCCCTCCCCCCGTCCTTGTCACAGCTGGTCACATTTGTAAGACTCCCCCCCCGTCCCTAGTGTGACGTCACATATTTTGCAAATTTACATTTAGAAATCATTGAATGAAAACAGCGGTTCTGTAATCAGTTTTATTTCCATTTAAATTGTTTTTTCATTATTATTATAATCAAATCAAACAATTAACAAAACAAAAAAATTACCGAACAAAAAGTGATTGACTATGTTAATTAAAGAAATTAACAAAACATAAAATATTAATAGCATTATAATTAAATTAAATATACAAACTTAATAATCTTGAGTCCATGGACATTGATCCCACTCCTTTAAATTATTTATAACTGGCATAGCACCACTTTGTTCTCGTTTGGGTTGTTAATGCTTTCGTAAAGTAATAGTTTCAACACTTAGATTTTAATATATTTTGAAATGTGACGTCACGAAATTTAGGACCCCTCCAACCCCTTGTCACACGATGTCACATTTCTTCGACCCCCTCCCTACCCCTTAAAGTGTGACGTAATTTATGGATGGCCCCTAAGTGTTCGTTCAGGGATCCATTCCGTGGTCTTCCTTGTCCCCTTCCCAATTTCGTCTCTTGTGACATGACAAAGATACAGTGTTATAACTACAGTGGAATCCGTTTATTATGACTCCGCCTATATTGACCAACCGCCTATTATGACGTAATTACACATCGAACTTTGGTTTTCATATAAAATTCATTGTAACAATGTCGGATACTCGATGGCGCAAATGGTTAGCGCGTTCGACTGCGATCGTTGAAATTAAGCAACTTTCGCAGTGGTCGGTCATTGGATGGGTGACCAAAAATTTACTATCTCGAGCTCCTCCGTGCTTCGGAAGGCACTTTAAGCCGTTGGGTCCCGGCTGCATCTGCAGTCGATAGCACCCACCAATCCGCACTGGGCCCGCGTGGTGTTTTTTGCGTTTATAGTGACCGACATGATACTTTACACCTACGGTAATGTTCATTGATTCAAATTGAACATCAAGCATTGTTTTTAGTAAAAAAATTTAATCTCAACGTCGTAAAGCATTCACGACTGAGGGAAAAGGTGCAAAGCATATTATTATGCTGATTAGAAAATGGAGAATCAAACTCATCTCACAATCAAAAAAGTTTCACAAAAATGCTTTGTATGACGACCTCCGTGGCCGAGTGGTTTGTACGCCAGGTTTCATGGTGTCGCCGACTCGAGAGGTCCCGGGTTCGAATCCCGGTGGGGGCAGATGTTTGTGTGATGAATACGAGCATTTGTACTCCAGTCATGGATGTTTAATATGTATTTCTATATAAATATACTTATATATGTACTGTATATGTATTCTATCCGTTACCCTAGTATCCCATAACACAAGCCTTACAGTGCTTACTTTGGGGCTAGGCTAATTGGTGTGAGTGTTGAAAATATTTATTTTATTTATTTATTACGTCCGCTTAGTATGACGTGTTTGTCGATTCCCTTGGAAGTCATAATAAACGGATTGTACTGTTTTATCCGGGATTGTTACCATGTACCTTGTTTTTTATGAGTCTCCGGTATTTCGACACTATTGCAAGCGCCATGATCACGGAGTAACAATAACAATCCCGTTAATGAGTGAGAAAGTTTAAAATAATATAAAGATATTGGTGTCGATCCTGGCGTGATTCTCTAAACTTAAAACTAAATTTAACATCAGTCTCTCCTTTTCATTCTGTATAGAGAATGACAAAGATACACTGTTGTCAAATTTAAGTTTGAATTTAGAGAATCGTGCCAGAATCGACACCAATGATGCCGATTCTGGCATGATACTCTAAACTTAAAACTAAATTTAACATCAGTCTCTCCTTTTCATTCTGTATAGAGAATGACAAAGATACACTTTTGTCAAATTTAAGTTTAATTTAGAGAATCGTGCCAGAATCGACACCAATGATGCCGATTCTGGCTTGATACTCTAAACTTAAAACTAAAAACATCAGTCTCTCCTTTTCATTCTGTATAGAGAATGACATGGATAAACTGTTGTCAAATTTAAGTTTAGGTTTAGAGAATCATGTCAGAATCTACACCAATGTGTTGTTAAAATTAATTTTAAGTTTAGAGTTTTATGCCATAATCGAGCCCATTATTAATTAAATAAAAAAGTTTGGTCTTTGATAGTGAATTAGGAAGCAGTTGTATTGAACAACCTCTCAATTTACTCATACTTTGTACGATTGTGTATTGGAATATTACAGTTGCGTATTGAAACATTTTGATCGGATACAAATACTATTTAAAGTAATTTGAAAATTGATTAAATTACACATATTGAAGATGAGAAATGTTCATTAACTTCGTCATATTTTATTGTTTGACATCTTTTTCTCATGGAAATAACACAGAACTTTATCAATTTCCAAATTAAAAGTTTGGAACTCATTATTCTTTTAAACCTGTATTAATGGTGCAGATACAATAGTGACGATTTGCGATTGTCTAAAATGTTTGTGTCTTTTATAATACCAAAGCATCGTTATGTTATGGCGGCTCCGTAATATTAAAACGACGTGCTCTTACTAACAATACTTATTTATTTGCAACTTTTTACTTTAAATACACGTAACAGACAAAACGCATTTCATATTGACAAAAACTAAAATTTATATAGACCATCGCACACCGTTCTCACAGACTATGTTTGAATTGGGCAGAGAGCACTACTTTACGTAAGCATACCATAATATCATTGGCTCAGTGCTGCTTCGCCTAATAACGCTGATTCTATATGACGCATAGGACTTAAAAAAAGCTAAATTCGATGTTAATATTCCCAACATTAAAGTGTAGTTTAAAATTATCATCGTAATGCCCATAGATGGCGTCTTTAAATGTTCCACACGTATATTACACTTATAGTCTGTCCATTCTATTATTATCTTTTTGACAGATCGATCGAAGTAAAAATAGTGACACCCTATCACATAACTCGTTCGATTTAAAGCTATAATCGATTTTATGCCAGAACATTGTTTAATCGATTATAAGTATCGAAATTATTTTAGTTATCAAAACTAATAGTAATACTGGTGTTTAATAAATTATTACAAATTCTCATTAGATTTATTGTTTTACCTAGTTTGTATGAAGAATCTGATACGTCTGAATAAATTAAAAATAAACTAAGAAGACATTTATAAAATGAACTTTATATAATGTTAATATTTTAATTACTTGGTCTCTACCTTACAATTTGGTTGTACTCATTTGTTTCTACCGATTACTTGTAATCTGTGGCACAATCTTAGTAATCATTATGTGTACGTGTGTACCCGTCCATGAATTACAATATTACTAGCAAACCAGTGAACCAAATGTTCACCAAAACCTGATTTAAAAAAAGAAAGAAAAAAAATGTATTTAATTAATTGAGGACTTCGGAGATTTTGTGTGGTTTCGTTTGAAATACGTGATTTCCCGAAAACCGGAAGTGCTACGTTACTCAAATCCGGTTTGTAGTCTTATTAGACTATTCTTAACTTATAACTTAAATATTCTCTTTATCTATCTCTTACGGTTTGGCCGCTGAAACAGCATCACAGACAGACGGACGGACGGACTTGTCTAATAGATAAGAGATTTGTATGACATTTTAACGTAAACAATACAAAATTTCATGGGTGTCAATCTGTCAAAAAGATAATAATAGAATGGACAGACTATAAGCTTACTTCATGTACACACTTGAAATATATCGTATGGCGGCATATAGAATCGGCCACTGTCAGTTGATAACATAGAGTGAGCTTAAAGTTTTTTCGTGATATTTGTGATAAAGTAAATCAGAATTATTGAATGATAATA